CAAATACACACTTGTCTATGTGTGGAGACAATGATCTGCACTGTTGAATTTATTCACCTCATTGCCCTCATGGCAATTTCATTTTTTTCCCAAGGAGAATCACTTGATATTCTGTCACGCCGTCCCATGAACACAAAGACTCAAGTAATGCCAGACTACATACATAATTTTCTCGTAGGCGTAATGAAAAAGGCTAAGTTTGAATTATCTTGTGTTTGAAGGCTTTTACGTGTAATGGTATGCAAAAAAGAATTTTACTTCTTTGAGATAATTTTTTACAGGTTTCTTTTGTACTTTATACCAGATGTTTTATTTTTACTCTATGTAAAGTTATTCAAAGATGTATTCATCTTGCTGCTGGGCCCAACATAAGTGACACAAATCCACAGTACAGCATAAACATTGAGTAATTAACGGAATGCCCGCGCCAGTTCAGAGGCCCTGGGCAATTAACAGATGAAGGTGTGCAAATTCAAATTCTGAAAATCCTGCCAGTGATTCCCAGGCCGACAAATTTTAATCTTCTGACCCTGACACATTATGGTATCAGCCTCTGTGTAAACAAACCCGCATCCTGCCCTGCTCCCCTGCGCGATAACAACCGCAGGTGGACTCCCACCAATCAGGGAGCCTGAGGGGAGGGTAGGGGAGAAGAGAAAAAGGGGTGATCCAGGGACCCTTCTTCCTTCACTGGCTGGGCTGATGGACATATCTGGTTACAGGGCAATTAATTACCCGCACCTGCAGGCAGACATTGGCCTCTCTGCTGTGCAGGTGCCCCCTAGATACGCAAATCAGAGTGTATACAAAAATTAAAAATAGCCGGGTACCGGTGACAGACATGGTCTCCCTTGCTCCGCAATCTCCCACAGGACAGAACCCCTCTTGTGCCTCCTTAATTACCTGATCGAGAAGTTAAACCCACACTTAGTTTCGATCATGCTGAACTTATTGGAAGAAGGGAATTAGCTCCGGTCGGTTCCCAGCTGCAGAAACAAAAACTACCATTCATCTGCAGAGTGTTCCATTATGCAGGACTGGGACAAATCAAATTGCCACTTTTGGGATCCTAAAATTGAAAGGCCTACCCTTTAAGAGAAGGACCATTATCGGCAATCATCAAAATTCCCCCTCACAGAAACTGTGACTTTTCCCAATCCGTTAGGGAGGTTGAGGGTAAATTGCTGCTTAAATGATAACACTAATAACATTGTACCAAATCTGCCATAACCTAAAATATACTAGAGACAGGTACAGGGATCACCTTATACAGAAATATTGGGTGGCCCAATAATTAGCAACAACTGGAAAAAATGAGTGCTGCATGCTAAAGTGGTGAAAGGCAAAATTTAAATACAAACCATGTTTCATAAATCTACGTCTATAAATGTACATACCGGTATGTACCACTTTCAACAGGAGCATGGCTTTTGGCAAATACTCTTCGGGCCTTATTTTGAGCTTGAAATTTTTAACTCCGAAGTCGAACAAAGGGAACTGGGCCTTGTAACAAAAGACCGTACTTGGAACCAAAAACCAGGCTGCTGGGCATCACTAACATTTTTTCACGGTCAAATTGACGCATTGGGGCATTTAGTGCGAGCGGATTACTACCGGGGACAAAAGCGCTCCACCACCACAGCGATGAGCCACACAGCACCACTGCATGCTAATCTGGCCCCTATTGAAAAGAGGTCAGCAGCGCACAGTGCCAGGTTCGTGAACAAAAGAAAGTTACATAACACTGGACAATCTGGGCTCTTTTTACAAGGCTGCAGGCCTGGCTGAAATACTCGGGCGTCAATAGATTTTGTCTGTCAGACTAGAGTGGCCACCAGACAGTAATTTGTGAGGGTGTAAACGTCCATTAATTGAAAGGATGAATTTTTGAAGAATTTTGAAAACTGAAAATCTTGAAAAAGTCCCGATTACGTGCACTGCATTTTTCAAACCACCCGGTAGCAAGTGGTTAACACGTATGATCAGGTACGATTACAATTGTTCAATTCTTCGAATACAGTCAGCACAGTAGTTTGCTGTAGCAGTTTCTTACTTTGGTTTTTGCTGGCTCTCGCTCTTTGGGTTCACTAACCGGATGGAGGGAAGTTACAGAGATCCAAGTCGGTCTTGTTTGGTTTCATTACCTTTTACTTGTAAATTGTACTGTACTATGTTCAAGGCACAAGGCAGAAGGTGTTAGACAAACGAAGCCGCACAGACTTACCATGTGATTGCATCCGCCGTTCTTCTCTATACAGATGTTGCATACAGGGCACTGCAGTAAGGAAACAAGAACCAATGCAAAAGTGAAAATTACAAAAAGTCAAGCGTTAATCTTGCGGACTGATCCAGCACATGTTGAATGAAACTTTACCCGCAGACACAGCAAAGGCATACATAAATAAACAAACAAACATGGCTTTAAAAAAAATTACATACATGTACTTCCACGAATTTTGCCAACTGATTTTAAAGAACAAAGAGCTAAACACGTAAAAGCAATGCAACACATGGCAAGTTGAACTACACGCAAGGTCAAGTACCGCACATGTACTTTCATTTCTGCTATAAAAAAGACACCAATTGCAACTTCCTCAATCAGGAAGTGAAAGTCAAGGGGAAGTACGGGGGAGGGAGAAGGAATGAACACAATCTGACACTGGATGGCACTATTCATTCAAGACCCTGGTATAATGCATGTACATGTATGTGTACATGTACATTAGTTCAAACAGGTGATGTACACCCCGGTAATTTAGACATATTAGCATGGGTCTGAGACTTTGAGTGCTTCCTATTTTAAGTTTTTGGAGAAGGCTGTCACAGTAACGTAACCCTACACACGCATGTATGT